TTGTAACGTAATTAATTCTGTATCGTTATATTTAGCGACTATTTGAGTACGATAATATTTAATACTTCCAATATCGCTGGAAAGTACTAATTTATTGTTTGAATTTTCGAAACATATAAATTTTTCATTATTTTTCAATTGCTCGTGATTTTCATTTACAATATCCTCTGAAAATACATTTCAGACAGTTATTCTATATAACACATTAGCGTGTTATATAGCAAATTAATTTTTACCTGCTATTCCAAGTTTCGAGTTAGCAAAATTTCTAGCGGTGTATACCAATTTGGTTACACATGATATATTAGTACCTGAGGCCTGAGCAGATTCAGTTTTTCCGCCTCCTTTTCCTTCCATTAGTGGAACAATTTCTTGAATCCATTCATTTGCTTTTAATCCTTTATTTACAGCCGACTATTGTATTTTATAAAACAATAAAAATATTTTATTTTAAATAACTTATTTTTATTTTTATTCTAAATAATTTATTTGACTGCATGCATCTGACTTTACCTTAGATACTGTGCAAAGTGCAAAAATTTTTTTAGCATCAGGATCGACACTTATGAGTAATGAACTTGTCTCTGGAGATACACTTTTTATCTTTTTAAGAGCTGAGTCTAAAGCTTTTGTGTTACTATACGCTTGTAAAACTTCAACTAGTACTAGACATCCAATATCTTGTTGAATTATTTGTTGAATAGTGTCTACTACTGCATTGGCTATTGCGGTTTTAGCTGTACGTTCTTTATCATCAAGTGTTTTTTTTAAATCTTTTAACATTTTACGCATTTTATCCTACATTTGAATAAACAATTGTATCTTTATTACGATTATAAAATAAAAAATGTTATATATAAATATTATATAAAATGTACCTTTTTCCAATTTGAAATAACAGCATGTGAAATATCATCCGTTAATTCAATTATTTTTTTTATATGTTCTTTTATATTCGCACCACTTTTATCAGTTACTATAGTTGCTTGAAGCTGATCTAAATGATTTTCTAATACAGATGCTTTCTTCTGAGCTTTTATTGCTTCAGGTCCTGTCAAAGCTACTATTCGTCTAATACCTTTAGCAATAGCCTCTTCACTAGTTATAACAAAATCTCCAATATGTTCTGTATAATGTAAATGCCTAAAAAAAAATTGAAATTAAAAAGTGTTTATAGATTTTATTGCTTCATATAGAAAATGTTAAAGATATTTACGTTCCACCACAAAATTCTACACTGGTTTGTAATGCATCAGGACCTAAAGGATCTTTTTCTAAGTTTTCAACTTCTATACCTAAACTAACAATTCTTACAGGATCAGGATATGTTTCTTCAAACATAGCACGTAATCCTTGAATGGTTTTTGCTAGTGCTAAATCACTTTCTTTAGCATAAACTTTTTTATTTTCTTTTATTACATTATTTACAATTTCTTCTACTTTTCTTATTTGTTCTGCAGTCATTGCACCTATGAAAAGATATTTGGAATATATAAATTTTAAAAATGTTTTAAAATGTATATTTTAAAAATATAAATTACTATTTTTTCATAAACCTTTATTTGTAAAATCAAAACGAAGACGGTCAGGTGCAACTAAAGAACCTTTTTGATCAACTTCTGCACCTAACACTTTACGAAGAGCGTAATTGAGAGCATGAGTAGCAGTGTGATTGCTCATTATAAATCTCCTGCGTGTAGTATCTATATTTAAAAAAACTTTATCGCCTTTCCTCAATTTTCCTTGGCCTACAGTTCCAATGTGTAAAACATAACCACCTCTAACTTGAACATTTTTAATGCGAACTTCGGTATCCTTGAAAAATGAAGATAATTATCTTTACTAATTATGCTTAAATATATATTTATAAATTTAAGTACGTTATTTGTTTACTTCGTCATTGATCTTCATTAAAAATCCTTCATCATATATTTGTCCACCTTGCTCTGCATAGAAATTAGTTTGATCTAACAAAATCCCAACTTCTTCTCCTGATGATATTTCATCAACAAAAGTCTTTGCACATCTAAGAGCAATAATAGTGCCAGAACAAGGAACAAACTCATATTCTTCATATAAATTATTACTTGTAACATTGTAATTATATTTTGGTAAATCATTTGTTGGTTTGATTCCTTTATTTTGCAAATCAGTGATGGCATGAACATCCAAGTTAATTTGATCATCTACTCCACCACTTTTACTTTGAGAAATAAGCTAAGGTAAATTAAATAATTGTAATTATTTTATGAATATATATTATTGTTACAAAGTATTTGAAACATCTACTACCTGAGCTTGTTTTTTTGCTTCTTCGTAACCGATTATATCTACTTTTAATCCCTTTTCTTCAGCCATAAGTTGCGTTAAATCAACTGGAAAACCGTACGTATCATATAGACGCCATGCAACATCACCTGGGAGAACATTTGATGATTCTAATTTTGTTATAGTGCGATTTAATAAATTACGACCACGTGATAACGTTTTAAGAAACTGAGTTTCTTCTTCATTAATAATATCAATTATGTACTGTGGGTCTTTTGTTACTTCTGGGAAGATGTTACCTACGTTTGCATAAAAAAGTATTTTTTAAATATAAAATGTCATAAAAAATAAAAAAAAAAACCTAAATATCAAAATGAAGATATTTACCAAGAAGATCTACTACAACATTCACTAATGATCCAAAAAATCCGGGTTTAGCATTCAATTTTTCAGTTGCATAACGTACAGCACGCCTCAAAATTCTTCTTAATACGTATCTGAAATTTTATTAATAATAAAATATGATTAAAATATGTAAATTAATTCAAAAACTAATTAATTAAATTAAAAAACTACCACTAAAATTAAACGTACCCTCTACCAGTATTATCAGGTACACCTCCATCTGCAAGAGCAATTGTAATAGTTCTTGCATGATCAGCCAAAACTCTATAAGCCATATCTATTCCATCTTTGTCTTCCATGCCTATTCTGCCTTGGTAAGGAGGTGCTCCTGTACCTTTTTGTATTGCATCAAAAAGTGGTACAAATAAATCTGTATCATAATTTGCTTTTTTATTCTGTATCACTGACACTAATCTTTCTAAACCTAAGCCACAATCAATATGTTTTTTTGGTAGCAGTTTCAAACTTCCATCAGTTTCTCTAAAATAATGTATAAAATCAGAAAAATAAAGTTTATTTTAATTGTTATAAATTGCTTACCTATTAAATTGTATAAATACAAGATTCCAAATCTCCAGAACGTCTGGATCATCTTGATTTACTAAATGAGCTGCTTCTCTGTTGCCAATACGATCATAATGGATTTCACTACAAGGTCCACACGGACCTGTTTCTCCCATTTCCCAAAAATTGTCTTTCATATTTCCTGGTAATACATGACTAGGAGCTACACTAAGAATATAAAATAATTGTTTCTAATATCCTTTTATAAAGATTAGCAATTTATGACAATAAAAATTAAATATAATAAAACAACAGATATCTAATTACCCTAAAGAAAGCCAGATATCTTTACACTCCTCATCAGGTTTTAAATTATTCTTTTCATCTCCTCCAAAATAAGTTATATATAATCGGTCTGTTGGTAACTTTAACTTAACAGTTAGAAATTCCCAAGCCCAAGTACAAATTTCTTTCTAAAGAATCAGTCGCAAATACAAAAATTTAGTATAATAATTTTGCAATTTAGTTTGTGCATTATATAATTAATATATTACTTTAAAATAATCCCCAAAAGACCAGTTACCCATCATTTCAAAAAATGTATGATGGTAAACATCTTTTCCAACATCATCTAAATCATTGTGCTTTCCTCCAGCTCTAATACATTTTTGACTGTTAACAGCTCTCACTAATTTTCCTAGATCGCTATTAGGATCCACTATTCCCAAAAATATTGGTTTAAACTGAAAAACATCAAAATAAACAATTGAATGAAAGATGCATTTTAATAATCGAGGGTAATAATAATAATTTTATTAGATATATTTTATTAGATATATATATTAAATATATTTTATTAGATATATATATTAAATATATTTTATTAGATATATTTTATTAGATATATACCTGGTTCATTCCAGCATTTGTAAATAATAATGTAGGATCATCATGTGGTATTGTGGAACTGGAATGCACATATTCATGATTCTTACTTTTAAAAAAGTCAATATAAGCTTGCCGAATTTGCTTAGCAGTCATCATTGTAGTCATATTGATTTGTTCTTTTCCTCTTCTTCTCCCTTAATCTATAATAAAATATTAATCAAATAATTTGAACATATGGAAGCAAGTTGTATGTGTTTATTTAAACAAAGCAAAATATTTAGATGAATGAATGAATTAAAAAATTATATATTTTCATTTTAAAATTTTACCAATATTTTTAACAATATAAAATTAAGAAATATAAAGAAAAAGCACGATGCGCAAACTTACTCAAATGCGAAAGTTTATATTAGAATAGCTGGCTTTTACAACTGGTGATGGAATATTTCAAAAGAGAAAGGAAAAGATATTTGGAGCAATTTACACCGGCACCAGATTGCACCGTAACTTCAGATCTTTGACTGGATTAACGGTTCAAGAATTCACATGAACGAATGATACGGACAGAAATAGAATACATAACCAAAAAATCTTTTGAAAAATTCGATAACCATACATTTACATGTTATTTAAAAATGAAGTTTTGAAATATTACTGTAATAGAAGGGTAGATATTAATAACTTCCATAAAAGAAAAATAAGTACAAATCGAAAAAATTCTTTATTAAAAACATTTATCATTTATTTGTTATTTCATAATTCTTATTTAAATGAAACCTCTAATGTGACAAAAAAGATTTAATACTTTATTATTTTTAGATTATTTAACATATTTACATATATAACATATTTACATATATAAGAGAAGCAGTGAAAGATTGAATTATCGTTCTACACATCATTCTACACTTTTTCAATTAAAAAAAACAATCAAAATGCCGTTTATGATTGGTAGAGCACCTATACGGAGGACATTAAATTATTTAAACGCTGGTAAATTAATTTTAAAAGATGAAATACAAATATTTTCAGTAAATTATAATACACATGGAGTTCATCACAAAGGTGCTATGTAAGTTCTTCATTATTTCCATATAATATGCACTAATTTTATTGAAAACAATTGATGAAATAATCTGATTTATATTAAGGGAGTTTGTATTTTGGCATTTATCACAAATTCAATATAAAAATCCAGATGTGCAAGTCCTCACCTTTAAAAATATGACACCAACACCTTTTATAAAATGTTACTATGGTATGTAGTAAGAACTTTTGTAATTTCTCATACTTTTAAGTGGATATTTTATTTTAATATAAAAATTTATAGTATAATAATTTGTTTTGAAGTTATTTTTCATTTTTTTAAAATATCAAATTAAGGAAATTATTTTTCTTTCAATTTTATATAGAAAATGGAAATACTATGTTAATCGATGTAGACAGCAAATCTAAAGAAGAAATATTAAACCATCTTCAAAAAGTAATTGGTAAATCATTGGAAATACAGCAAAAGGAAAGGGAAGCTAAAGAAAAGAAAGATAATCCTGCTAATTTTGGTGTTGGTTGTCCTAGAAGCTGTATGTGTGTAATACCTGATCAAGTACCATGTCCTGCTATAGTACCTTTGCCATATCATATGCGTGGAAAATACAATAGGCAAAAAATGTTAGAGGAAAAATAATTTTGTTTTAATGATTAAAATAAAACTTACAGCAAAAAAAAAAAACATTTAGCATCACGTTTATTGAAGTTTTGCTATTAATAGGTCTTTATTTTTAGTTATTTAATTTTAAATAAAAAAAATGATCATATTTTGCGTCACAATAAAATATTTATTTAAAGTATATATTTGTTTATTATAAAAAGATATTATAGATTATGAAAATACGTGTACATTAATGTACATATTAAGCATTACATTATTAGTGAATGATACTTTTGTATCTAACGTGCAATTGCACCACTGTAGGAATCATGTTCATAGTAGAAAAAGAGATTAAAAAAGACTAACTAAAAAATATACGGCTTTATAATAAAAAAAAATTGATTTAATACAAACACATTGCTTAAAGACAAAATATAAATAATATAAATATGCTAATAATGGTCATGGAACAAATGTCAATTAATAAAAATGGATTGATTAATTTTAATTGTAACACTATAAATTAAAAATAAAGAAAACAATTGAAATTATCTTCTTGGTTTATGACGGTTGTATGGCTTATTGTTGTGATAATGACCGCTTCGATTATGATAACGAGTTGATGTGGACGGTTTTGAATTTTCTGGCTTTTGATACAAATGTATTACAGGTGAGTCATTTAAAGGTTTATTTAATTCAAACTCTTCTTCTGATTCTTTCATCAGTTTCAGTTTTGCTTCTATCGCTTGAATTGCTGTCTCGCGACTAAAAAAAATATAGTAGCATTTGATAATAATCATTAGAATACAATTTTTATTTTATATATTTAAAAATTGAAATTTACCTAATTCTTTTATCTTCCTTTTTAGCTCCAGCTAAAGCAGGTATATCTATTTTTGGTTTTGGCTTATCCATGTCAGACTTAAATGAAATAAATATGCTGTTAATATTATAATATTCATTTTATATCGCAATATTATATGTTGATACAAAAAATAGTAATTTAATAAATTTTAATATTATTATTTTAATAATTACCTCTGTCACACTGTGAGCCCATCGTACAATAATGTTTTTTGCTCCTACTTTTAAATTGTGTAAAGCATCTTTAGCTGTCCTGGCATCTTGAATAGTTTTGTAGGTAACAAATGCATAACCTCTAGGTTGACCAGCTTGTGGGCCTGACCGATGAAACAAGAGGTCGAACTTTTCGATTGTTCCATGTTTTTGGACGAGTTTTAGGAGTTTGTACCAGTTAACAGATAAAGAGTTAGTTTTTTCAGATTTTTTCATTGTACAAAAATATTACATCATTTTCAAATAATGAAACTATTACATTAGAAACGATTCAACTAATCTGAGTAAATACTTACTCATTAATCCTTAAATCTAAATTGCCCACCCACAATCTCCTATCTTCCACTTGATTTGATTTTATGGGTTCTAATGGCAAAGGAACTTTGGTAACTAGCTGAAAAATGAATTGAAAGCATGTAATCAGGCAAAATTATTTATATACACGTACTTGAACTTATTTAATTGGATTCAAGTGTAATCCTATAACCTATTTACAATTGAGAAATAAAATCTTACCTCCATACTCATAGAGTTTAAAAAAATATGAAATTAATCGAAGAAATTATCGGTGTTGATTTCGAAATGTATCGTTCTATAAAATTGGGCATTAGACCTCAGGTATTTATACGAAACCGTACAAACGCATCGACATATACACTCACTTTACGGCAGTTTAGCAAAATTGTTCGTCTGTACGGACAATAGTTACAACGCTAATGTTACCGATATTTATGTTTAAAGCAATTCAACTATATATTGTATGAATATACATCGATACTTACAATGCACATTAAAAGTTCTACTAATTTTTATTTTGTCATAGTAAATTGTTTTATTGTCGAATTTAATGTATGATTTAAAATTATCTGACAAAATTATTTTGAGCTATAATTATGAATGAATAAGTATGAATAAAAATATAACGTAAAAATATATGTGCAGAAACAATACTGTAAACAAATTGTATGAGTTTTTTTTAATGTATGAATTGAAAAATATTTTGTTTAGTTTTGTGATATATCAAAAATTGTAAACAGTTCTTCAGTTTCAAACATGGCGTCATTTTTCTCAGATAATGATGAAAGTATGAAGTAACCGCAATTTCGAATCACGTTAAATCATATTTTTTTTGTGTAATTTCGTAAAAATATATTCCAAATGGAGAGATCACTAACGTCCGAGCAAACAGCTACTCAAATGCAAACAGAAACTATCGTAGAAACAGATATCACAGATTCTGCATCTCAGGTAAGCTTAGTTTTATCACAACTACTACGTCATTATTTTGATTCGATAATGAAATTCACTGTCGTAAAAATTATTCCAATTTGTTTTCACAAAACGATAATTTTTACATTTCCGCGATATTAAAGATATGGGATGTGTGTTCAGTGTAAAAGTGTTACATGAATAATAATATCTCTTCAGTTCGCATCAATTTAGTGAAATTGTATATATATGTGTATTTATAGTAGTGAATAATAAAAATTTTTTGGAAAGTTAAATTATGTCTGCTTTTGTGTCAAAATGGATAAAAATAAAGCATTTACTGAACATATGTACTATCAAGAATCAAAGATATACATGCACGAATAGTACAGATGATAAATCACCTTTATCTGGAATTCGTGTTTTGGATTTGACTCGAATTATTGCTGGTCCTTACTGTACCATGATTCTTGGTGATCTTGGTGCTGAGATCTTAAAAATTGAGAAACCAGGTAGCGGGGATGAGGCACGAAGGTGGGGTCCACCATTTATAGAAGGAACTAAAGAAGCAACTTATTTTCTTTGCGTTAATAGAAACAAAAAAAGTGTATGTATTGATCTCAAGAAAGGTAAAGATATAATTTATGAATTAGCGCAGAAGTCCGATATATTGGTAGAAAACTATATCCCTGGAAAATTGAAAGAGATGGGCTTAGGATATGAAGATATCTCTAAAGTAGCTCCTCGTCTTATATATTGTTCTTTGACTGGTTACGGATATGAAGGACCTTATGCTAATAGACCTGGATATGATGTGATTGCTGCTTCTATAGGAGGCTTGTTACATATAACAGGTCCAAAAGATGGATCACCTTGTAAAGTTGGAGTAGCAATAACTGATTTAGCAACAGGTTTATATGCTCATGGTGCTATTCTAGCAGCATTGTATCAGAGAATAACAACCAATAAAGGACAGTGGATTCAATGTAATTTATTATCAACACAAGTTGCTAGTTTAATCAACATTGGATCAAATTATTTAAATGCTGGTAAAGAAGCAGTACGCTGGGGTTCAGAACATGAGAGTATTGTACCCTATGAAGCTTTTTATACTAAAGATGGTTACATGACTGTAGGAACTGGCAGTGATCGACAATTCTTAGATCTACTTGAAAGAATGCAATTATCAGAAATATCTGAGATAGATAAATATAAAAATAATAAGGCTAGAGTAAAAAATAGAAATGAATTATTATCAATTCTTAGAGAAAAGTTTAAAACAAAAACTAATAAAGAATGGGAAGTTATTTTTGAAGGTGCTTCATTCCCTTATGGTCCAATAAATACAATAAAACAGGTACAAAATCACAAATGTTGTGCTAAAATAACTTGAAAATAGTCTTTATACAAGAGAATTTTGTAGGTTTTTGAAGATCCTCATATAGAATATATAAAATTGGTACAAGAAATGGAACACCCTACAGGGAAGAAAATAAAGATTGTTGGTCCTGCTGTAACATATAGTTATGCTACAAATAAAGTTCGAACTGTCCCTCCTATGTTGGGCCAACATACTACTGAAATATTAAAAAATGTTTTAAATTATACTGATGATAAAATACAAACCTTAAAGGAAAGCAAGATTGTACTATGAGGAAATATTTGTCATTTAAGAAAGATATAAAATATTTTTAGAAAAATATTTATATTCATTTAGATATATAATAATTAAGTTTAGAAATGTCATTTTTATAATATAATTTTATTATATAATTTTAATACAATTACTTATTGTTTAATATAAAATTATTGTATTTAGATTAAAATAAATAAATTCCAAAATATAGTTGTACATAAATTTTTATTAAGATTACACTTCTTATTAATATATGTATATAAATGTAAAAAATAAAAGATATTATTTTTGTTTTAGGATGTACCAACAGTACGATTGTGTCTTAGAAAGCCAAGATCAAGTAAGAAAGTTCAATGGACTCAAGGCACTGTAGATAATGAACATATGAATAAAAAGAAATCTAAATGTAAATTTTAAAGAAAATATGTTTTTTCTTATATATAATATAATTATATTCATATATAAAAGTTTAATCTATGTAATAATTATAGGTTGTTGTATCTATGAAAAACCAAGAAATTTTGGTGAAAGTAGTTCTGAAGATAGTGATGATGAATGTGAACATTGTCATGGACATAAAGACGCCCATAAGAAAATTCTGCCACATAATGCAGAAACATCTCAAGAATCTTCTACTCCAGGTAATATTATTAAAAAAAAATTCTTAAAGAAAATGTATATAAATAATATCTACAAATTTTTATTTTCTTTTTTGTAGAACCAATAGCAAACGCATCTACATAAATATGCTGATGATATAAATAATTTCTTTAAATGGAAAGATGTACTTCTTGAGTTAATGTTACATAGAAGGAAAATATGAAAATTAGGTACATAGGTTTAAATACAGTTTTATATATTAGATATAATAATATATTAATATCTAATTCTGTTTTGTAGGAAATTCGAAAAATATCAAAGAATGTATTATTATTATTCATACTACTCGTTGACATTTTTGAATAAATATTGTAAGTTACACTTGCAATACTTATATTCTTAATAAAAACAGCATTGGTAAGACATATCATCATTAAAAGGAAAGAAAAAGAAAATATAGACTTTCATTAATATTGTAGTTAATAACTGTTACACAATTTAATATTTATATATATAGTATATGATTGGAAATGAATTTATCAATGATAAGCTAATGGTCATTCGAGAGAATAATTAATGGTCATAAGAATAATTCGAGAGAAAGATACATTTTTTGTTAAACAAATTAAAATTAATTATGATTCCTATATCACATAGTACTGTAGAATTTGCAAACCATCTTGTTGCGATAGTGATAAAGTTATTTAGAAACAAATTGCAAAAATATTGTAAGTATTATAAAAGTTTATTAATAGATTTAAAAATCTTAACGAAATAATTATAGACATTTAATATAAACATTTAATATTCCAAATAATTCTTGAACAATTTTTGATTATATGTATATTGTATATCTGTTACTTACACATTTCTCGTTTTAATATAGTAATTGGACAGATGTACATATATGTTATGCTGAATAGACATATAAATTTGTAACAGGAAAGTATATTTTTTCAAATTATTTTTTTTTTATTATAATAATATTTGTCTATATGTATTCTTTTGCGATTGAAATATTTCCATTTTAAATAATTTTATATTACATCATAATGAATGTTAAAATGTTGATTTTATTTTAATTTAAAGTTAACTTTGTCATATAGAATATATTAATTATAAATAGTTGTTTGTACAGTTCTGATGATACACTGTTTGTACATATGTATATAAAAGAAAATTAAAAATTTTCTGTTTATCTTTTTTTATAAATGAAACTATAAAATTATTGCAACATTTTAATTGTTTTGTTATCTTTCAAAGCAGTTTCAATAATTGCATATTAACTCTTTGAGTGCTGATGCATATATGCATCCAGCGAAAGATATCGGTGTGGACTATGAGCGTATATATGAGTTTGATAAAAGTTACTAGCATAGACTAAAGGCGCATATATGTGTTTGTTAATTTTTTCGATCTCTCGCGTAGTAATATTACAATAAATTTTATATGAGACGAATACATGTGTGAATACATAATGTTCTTTAATTATTTAATTTGGTGCAAAAGAATTACTATAATAACTTATTGTTAGTTGCGCTCCTTGAGTAGTTAATCAACAGAGTTCACGCTAGCGAAAAAGTATTCCGTCCACAGCGATCGCTAACGCTAAGCGTACACGCTGTCCGTACAGAGCGCATTGGCAAAGAGTATTTAGCACTCAAAGGGTTAAACACGTGTGTACCATCAAAACTTATTCTAAATTAATTTAAAAATATCAGTCACAAAATTACTTAAACACGAAATATTGTCAATTAAAGTATGTCATGATAGTTCGTGAAAGAATCTCTGTTCTTATACTTCGTAAATGTTTTAAAATATACAACCTATCTCTGAAGATAATTTATCATTAAGTACATACAGAGTAAAAAGAAGAACAATAAAATGAGACGAACAGAACACTTCTGTGAAAAATAACAACTTTGGACTTCTTTATAAAACATATTATAAATATTCCAATTTCAATAAACATCATTGTACAAGAGAAAAGATCTTTTCAATTATTAAAAATATCTTATAAATAAAATATGTGCAATATTGTATAGTTTAATTGTTAAAACAATTAATATGTAAATATTTATATATATATATAACCATATATTTTATCCTAATTTCATTGAAAATAGAATTTGTAAATTCATGTAGAGATATTAATATATTACAAATTTAAATAGAAGATACCAATAATGTAATTTAGTATATCTTTTAAAATTTTAAACAATTTAAATTAATTTAATAGTCATTAGTCAATCAACATTACAACTGCTTTTTTGAAATTTTCGCCTATTACGTACTTCCATACCTCTAGAGAAAGAATCCTCGTCTAAATCCAGTGAACGAACTATAGCTCGACTACGCCAAACTTTAACAGTATAGTCATCGCTAGTTGTAACTAACATTTCAGGATCACGTGGATTGAAAGCAACAGAATTAACAACATCAGAATGTGGAAATTTGGCTAGACACACTCCATAATGTCTATCCCAGAGATAGCCATGTTTATCTTCAGCACCGCTAATAATCATAATTTTAATATTAAAATGCGGATTAAATTTAAAAGGAATAAACATTTAAATAAAATATATTAATTAAATTCACCTTGCCACATATTCATCACATACATCAAGAAAAATAAAAAAACATTCATTGTTTGGTGTATATGCCTTATGAGCTCTTAACATGGTACCAACTTGTTTTAATGTTACTAAATCAATTACGTGTATATCAATTTCTTGAGCTATTGGAGGAGGTTGTAATGGATTTGTAATGACATAACCTCGTGGCCATGGTCTTGTGTTTACATATAAATATCTAATAATAAACATATATAATATATTATTTACAATGAAAAGTAAAAATTTATATTGTAAATAACTAACCTATGATCTGGAGAGAGTCCCATTCCTATAATGTGCCCATGCAAATCAATTAAGTGATCTACTTTGTCAAATTGATCAGCTACAGATTCATAATCCAACCAATTGGTAAAAAATGCATAAGAATTCTGTCTCTCTCGTTCTCTTTCTCTTTGTGCTATTCTTTCACGCAATGATGGTCCTGGATCCAATCGTGTAGGAAACTTGAAATTTTTTATTCTCTTGAAACCCACTTGATGCGGTGTGTAAGTTTTTGATCCAGTTGTAAAAATAAGATATTTTTCACAGTTGTTTGATAACTCATCGTTATCACCATCTTCTGTATTCGACGATTCTATATACAAAACATTATTATGTTTATATAGTCAAAATATTATTATAATTAACATACAATAAGTGTCACCTGCAGATTCATTTTCTTCATCCCATTGAGAATTATCGCTTTCTTTGTAATTTTCTTGCGTTTTTTTTTCCATTTCTACTTGTCTATATTCCTGATTATATTGTATAGGATTAGCATATTCAAAACCATCACCAAGTTTTTTCCAGTTCATAAATCCACCTTCCAATGTACTATATCTATTCATGCATTTCAATACATTAAATTGAGAAATATATAAATAGAAAATTAAATTAACTTACTGTAATCTAGACGATGCATGACGAAGAACAACTGGTTCTTCTTGTACAATATTATTAGAAGATGTAGATGAAATATCTTTATGGCTTGGTGGATTTCCTCTTTCGCCTTTAACATTGGAAGATGAAGGCTGATTTTGTTGCTCTTCAGACTCAGCTTGTTCAGGTGTTAAACAATTAGCTACCATTATTGCTCGAACTGAAGAAGCATTACCATTATAAAATCTAAAATATATTTGTACATTTTCATGGTTAAAAAGTCATTTTCATGGTATAAAATGCTATTCGTCATATGGTACCTAAACAGTTGTGTCATAATAGGCACATGTTCACTAGATGACTCTTGATTTGCCTTATTAAGCCACAAGAGACTAGTACTAACTAAATGTGCCAACCAGCACAAATTTCCACTTAAAAGGTAATGTTCACTGTACCATGTTCCAAATATGTCATAAGGTTTATTTATTACTCTACACTGAAGATCAAAACCAGCTATAACAAAAAATAAAATAAAATAATAATTACTAATAATACATTTACTTTACTATTCATTAAAATATAACCAATTTATTAATATTCTTACGTGCTAATCTAAATACTGCAATTTCACCCGAAGTGCTAAGAGGTGTACCAAAGTGTACACCAGAAACAAGTAGCAAGGTATCAGAAGAATTGAATTGTGAAAACTGTGTGTATTTCCAACTAAATGTTTTCATATCATGAAGGTACTTTATACGTACAGGGTATTCACTTTCCCAAACCTAGAAGCAAGATCACAGATTCTGTTCACATGTTAATCAAATATAAAATGCAAACGAAAATTAGATAATTACAAAACACAAATAACTCACAAAGATGTATCCATCTTTTGAACAAGTGGCGAACATTTTACCATTGTGCGAGAAGCTAACATGTAAAACTTGGTGAGAGTGTGCTTTAAGTACCTCTGTTTGTAAAAGCGGAGTATGATACGTTAAACGTTTAAATTCTCCTAACCAAGATGTTTTTCCTACAAAATACAATTGAAAGATAAATGTAACTAATATATGTCAGTGTTATCAACGATTTTTAATTGTATCGTGCAATACGTTTGTTTACACTTTTATTTCGTACAAAATCGCAATGTCGAATATTTATAAATATACAAAAAGTTAACCTGGCATAATGCCGATATCTGGATCTATTTTATATGTCTGATAGAACAGATCTTTCCAAAGAAATTCATCTCGCGATACCCTGTGCCATGATTTGCATATTTCTCCAGCAATTATCAACTCCTTCGGCGTTAAATATTGAAAAATATTTAAAAGTATGGAATCCGGCATATAATACCAATTTTCATCTTCCTCGGAGCTTTCGGGCGAACTCTCACTCTGGTTAATGTCCTGCTCCGATTTAATGGCATCTTCATTCGTGTTCTCTTGATTTTCGGTGACACTCTCGACAATGTCCATATCGAAACACCGTTCTTTATTTACCAGAACAGCTGATATCTATCAGTAACACTGTTGTAATGTAAACGGTTCCGAGAACGTACGAGTTTGACCGAGATCAAAAAACGATTAAGTGCGCTACGTAGTGGAATATTTCTCTAGTAATATAGGTATTGTAAAAAGAGTTTTGAATATGTGTACAGCGGCACATGAGAGTATTCAAGTACTTATAGGACCTTTTATAAATATTTTTTCTGTCTTTACGAAATTTAGAAATTACTTACTTGAAAATGCTGATAGATTTCATTTGATATGCATCTTTAAATATCAAAAGATACGATGTACAATTACGAAAATATGAAAACCTATTAACTTTCAAAACTTTTAAAATTTCTAAATGTTCGAGAACAAAATTATGTAAAATCGGAATCGTCTGTGAGTTGAAAAGACTTTCCAGAATAAAAATTCAAAGATCGGAAAGTCAGAAAATCTCAGATGAAAATTAGTATTAGTTGCAAAAATATTTAGTATTAGTGCTAAAATGTATATTTCCTTAATAAAAAGGAAATGACTTTTCCTTTACATTTACTCATTTCGCCTAAAAATAGTAAATTGTCTCAGTAAAATATGATTTATGTAATTTTATTTTTTCAACGCAAATATTGTACCGTGCATCCATTTACACAAATAATAAATATAATAAACGCACTACAAACTGATGTGATTTAAAATTATTGCGGTCATATATAAAATTAAATTCTTTGACAGCATGCAATATATTCTAAATTTGGTAGCGGACAATACAGTTCGTATCGTTTGAAGTAGGATATCTTGTATTTTTTTCTTTTTTAAAACTGTTCTCCGAAGAAACATTGTAATATATATAACTGCGCGCGTGCGCGTAGTTTTTTCCACAACGAAATACATGTGTACAAAAATGTTCAAAATATCGGTATCTTTATTAGGAATTGAAAATAACAATTGGAAAACTTATAATTTATCAAATTATAATAGGTAGATAATAAAAATAATAAATAAATTGATGAATATAAATATCGATTTTATTCCTCTATAGCAAAGAATTAATGGGGGAAAACATAAATTACATTTACTTTACAACTTTTCACGATCAGATTCACATTAAATTAATAAATAGTTGATTTTGTGTATTAATAAATATACACTGGTGTATGAATGTCAGTATCCTGAACATCAAATTACACGTTGATATTTTATCAAAAATATTTTATTAAAAAAAAATTATAAATATAATCTTTCATGTATTCTTTTTACGTTTTAAAATTTTATCTTAATTTTCATATTTTAAAATTTCATTTGCATTTTTATCATTTTTTTAAAACATCTAATTTACACAATTTTTTACCTCATAAATATAACTATGTAAATATAATAATGTGTTATTTCTATTGTTAACACGTTGACACGCGAAACTTTCACTGTGGGACAAAATATTTAATTTCTATAAGATATTGTATTACAATAAAATACAACGAAAGCGTATTTTTATAATATTTAGTTATTTATGTTATTTAAAATTCACTGTTAATGATATTCATCTCATTTTAATTATTCTAAAATATTTATAGAAATAAAAACGACGATTACCAGTGACCACTCGGTTGCAGTCAACGTGTTAATATAATATAAATGAATTATAAGCAAAATTTCATTATGAAAGGCATGTAAAAAAGCATTTTGGTAATTAATATAAAAGAGTTTATCACTTATACCGAATTCACAAACATACATCCTTGCTGCACATTTCGCGTAATACGCATACACATTCGCATCTATAAATGAATAGAGAAAGTATGCTGTTCATTTTTATTATGTTAAGAATTACTTGCTTGAGATATTAATTGGCTTTCCATTTGCATATAAAATTGTTCTCCAAACCATTCTCTATGCATTTCTAAATAACTACAACGTTAAAGATATAATTTCATTAGTCACGTGAAGAAAAGGATATTTAAAGGATATTTAATAAATAAATAAATAAATATTATACCTGAGGAACATATCTAAGTATTTTAGAAGAACCTTCAATTTTTTATGTGGTATATCTGTTAATTGCAACAAGTCCGGTAATTTAACTATAAAAAATGATATTATTTTTGATTTTTTTATTAAGAAATATTTGTTAAAAACATTTCTACTAAATGTTATAAATAAAAATATTTTGCATACCAAACAGTCGCGTTAAGTGAATGGCACCATAGTATGTGCAAGGATTTGGAGGACTCTCAGGCTTTACAGAGTCAGGTACTAATCTCCATTTGTTCGATTGTTGTAGTAAAGCATTGACTTGCGCAGATGTAACAACTGGGACTCGTAGCGTTACACCGCGTGGGCTAGAACAACGAGAACTTGTACTTGCAATACTAAAAAAAAAGAAAAAAAAAAAAAGAAAAAAGAAAAATTTTGCAATCATACGAATGATACAAAAATAATTTGTTTCTGTAAAAATCTGACTCACCTCGATAAATTTCCTGTATCTTGTTTAATTTCTTCATACGATCTCAATTGTCTATTTTCATCGATAGAACTCACTCTGTTTGATCTTAATCTTCGCTTAGAGTTTGCCACTGTTTTCGACATATCTATTTCTTGGTCATGTTCTTGAAACGGTGGTAAATGAGCATATTCGGTATCTTCGTATTCTTCTTTAACTAAAATTTCTGAGTTCCTGAAAATTATATTAACCGCGTTTATTATGCATTGCTTTCATAAGAAATAGTTTTTGTTATTCTAAAATTAATCAAAATACCTGGAACGATGAGACATTCAATTACAAGATATTTAGTTTCCAATATATTAAAATATTAAAACTTACTCAATTGGTTCTTCTTTTACAAGAGTTGGATGTTCAGTGTACAAGAAAGAAGACTTTAAATTACAATATTGTTCTTGTTCTTGCCTATACAAAAGGAGATCGTGTAATGTAAAATCGAAATATATACGCAATCCATCGGCAACTTCTCTGCATATATTTATTTCGTTAATTGTCTTTTCTATCGTATTATTCGCTTTGTTCCTTTGTGGTTTTTCTGGAATGTTTGTTAATTGCGTTGTTGTAAAGTGCTGAACCCACGATTCTAAAATATTTGCAACAGTAGGTTGTGCAGGGAGAACAGCTAGCTAAAATTCATGTTAGCTGTTGTTATTTTCAAATTTTAGATTACACTTTCTCGATTATAATTTTATATTGCAATTTTCAAAAATGAGGACAATACCTTATTTTTATTAGTTATCAAATCATGATCTTGGTCCAGAATTCTTCTTAAAGTAGTACCTATATCAAGATCAATTCCTGGCTTTATACTGGCACCAGATTGACTTCCTCCACCACTATCTTCATCATCGCTTGTTTCACCAACATAATCTGAACTACTTTCTGTATCTTCTTCAGTGATAACTTCCTTTAATAAATAAAATATTTTGATCAGTTATAAATTATAACTTGAAATATATTTATTATATATTTTTGGATATATTATGCAATACTTCAGTATCATAATCAGCATGTTGTCCTGAACTACCATCTTCTGATGATCCAGTTGTAGCAGATGTTGCTCTGCTTCCACCACTTCTTGCTCTTCTTCTCGGTTCTTGATTTTCAGCCTCGTTTAAACGTTCAGGTAATTTATGACTTCTCTTTTTACGTTCTCTTCGATACAAATATGCTCCTCTGTTTACCATTTTATTCACATATGATTAAATAAAACAAATTTTTCACATTAAATTATACCTTACATTTGAAATATTTTTTCATAAAATTGAAATAAATATTTCTCATACATACAATTGTAACTGTGCTTTCTGTGCTAGGTCTCTTTGAAGTTGACGATTTTCTTCTGTATCCTTTAATACATATTCCTCCGTTACACAACGATCCCAAGAAGAATTCCATCCCTATTATTTTATGCATATTTTGTTTTAATTAGTAATATGAAAATTAGATGATATTTCATAGAGTTAGTTATTATTTACCTGAAAATGTATTAGGTATTCAACAGCTTTACGTCCTCTTTGATCTTTGTTAACAATGACATCAAGTACCTGAATAATGAATAATGCGAATTAGTAACAAAGAATAAGAGCTCTTTTTGTTTAATATTTTGTATTTTCATGATATACCTTAGAATCGTATAATACTTTCGCTTTTGTAGGATCAGGCTCGTAACAAAGAACTTTTTCACCATCACAGAATTTAAATTTTGGTCCTCGAGTAGAAACCATACCTTCCTACTGAATATTAAAATAAAATTATGAAATTTGTTTGTAAATAATTCAATAATTCAACAGTGAAACTTGTATTGTTTAGACCAATATAACCTCAAATTCGTTACATTTGAATGCAAAATAATCAACTGTAGAAACAATTTCTATATTAAATTTTACAAGACTTTTTATTGAAATTTATTGGCAGTCAATATGTTCGATTTTCATATAATATATTGTAAATATTATAAATATTATAAATATTATATGAACAAAAGTTCAAGTCTCCCGGTATTAAAAACGTTTATAGAATTGTATCGTATTAGTTTACAACTAACCTTACTTGAATTCAAACCTAAACACAAAGCAGCATTCGAAATAATTTTTGATTCGTGGCGTATCACTAATAAGAAAGTGACGAATACATGTACAAATATTTTATGCACTTATTGCATGAAAACTCACCATACGCATCGATATCACATTCTTTTACTTTATCGTCCATTAATAAGCAACTGATATATTTTTTTTACAAATTTACGTTAATAAATACAAAAATATAAAGCTAAAATTCAATACAACAAATTCATATTACATTCGACGATACGATTTAGTATACCTATGTCATTTTGTATATCTATACGAGTAAGAAAATAATGCAAATTATTAATCAAATTTTTAGGTGTTTTCACAGACTAGGTATGAATAGATCTCATATACAATGTATTTTTACGGCCTACGATTTCGGGGTCTCAGAATCTCATTACCATTTTCGTGTCACATCCTCTTGTATCGATTCAACAAGTTTTGCACCGCGAAAATCAAAAAATATGGACACTGTTGCCAGTTTGTTTCAAGAACTATTCATTGAATTGAACGTGGTGGTGTTTCATCAATGAAAGAATATAACGACTTAAAAATCCTTTATTATCCTCTAAGAATCTTACGATACTTCAAAAGCTAAAATGTAAGTATTTAGCATTGTTACTTGAATTAGTTCTATTGTCTACAGTTCTCTTTCGATTGAAGTCTATTAAATTATGAAATTATAACTATAAAATAAAAACATTTCAAATAATTAGAGTCCCAATTTTTATCATTATTAAAATTTTAATTTTTATAAATAACATTGTATCTTTGTGGTTTTCAAGAAATTTTTCACGGCGTTCACTTCCAACCTAGGATTCTCCTAGTGATATCTAGTTGATGAGGATCTTCACGACGATCAGTGCAGATGGTATTGTTCTTTGTTGGTCCAGTGCATTTTCGAAAAGAAAAGTATTTTTACTTTAACAGTTGCCACATAATGTAAAAATAAATATCTTTGAACGAAACAAACTCAGGATTGTTAAATTGGAGAAATTCTCTTTATTCTAAAATAAAATCAAGTTAATTATTTTACAAATTTTTTTCACGAAATTATAACAGTTTAAAATATTGATAATTCTTCATTTATTTGTGTGTTTGATTTAGATCAGAGTTTTTTATTTTTGATTCCAAATTATCATTTCGCGCGACCCGCGCGATTACAGCGCCCCAGCGGTGAAATTT